ACCTCTCATTATAGTTGCTCATCTCCTCTGATATACTGTTAATTCTCTTCAGCAAATACACTCCCTTCCTTTTGTTCATTCTTCTCCCCTTTTCTTACAAGTAAAGATCTGGAAATATTATATAGCAACAGCATAGTATTGGGTTAGCAACATAGTCTGTGAAAACAGAATGCCTCAGTTTGATTTTTAACTCTGTTGTTTATTAGCTATGTGACCTTGGACAAGTTGCTGACCTCTTTCTGTTTCTGTATATTTGTGTACAAAATTAAGATTAATAGGCAGGCACCAATGGCTCATGTCTGTAATCTTAACTACTCAGAAGGCTGACTACTCTGAAGATTGCAGTTGAAAGGCAGCCCAGGCAGGGAAGTCCATGAGAATCTCATTTCCAATTAACCACCAAAATGCTGGAAGGGGAGCTATAGCTCAAGTGGTAGAGAATTAGCCTTGAGCACAAAAGGTCAGGGCCAGTGCCCAGGTCCTGAGTTCAAACCCCAGGACCTGCACACCCACAAAAATGCAGATTAATAATAGGTATTTCATAAAGCTGTCACAGGATTGGACTTAGGACAGTATAAGTACCCTAGAAGTATCTATTAGATACATAAAATCACCCTTTAGGCTGGAAAATTACTGAATATTCTGTGATTGGTTTATAAAACTTTATGATCTACATAAGGAAAGCAAAGTCTCAAAGGCAAAGTCAGTGCTTAGGTACAAACAGCTATATACAAACTCTTTCCAAATTTTCCTATGTAGGCCCTGTGCCTTTTATGGTATACTTTACATTAACAATGCTTTGGTTTTAGTTTGTATTGGAATGTAATATAGATGGCAATAGCCATCGACATTGGATCTCCATGAATCCTGCCTTAGCCCTGCCTTAGCCACAAAGCTCAGAACAGTCTTTGTAAATGTTTTTCAATGGTACAAACCCCTACTGATAAAGGTAAAACCCCCCTGTGATCTCATGAGAAATCATCCTAAAATGCTCCAGCCTAGTCTTTTGATTTATGCTATTTAATTTTTTTATTATCTTTAACTAGGTGTTCATGGGGTTCTGATTCAACATGTCCATATGAGCACAATTCCAGCCTAGTGTTATCTTCATTCTCAAAACTCCCTTCTGAAGCCAGTCACCGGTGGCTCACCTCTATAACCCTAGGTACTCAGGAGGTTGAGATCTGAGAACATGCTTTGAAGCCAGCCCAGTCAGGAAAAGTCCATGAGACTCTTACCTCTCATTAACTACCTAAAAACTGGAAGTGGAGCTGTGGCTCAAAGTGGTAAAGCACTAGCCTTGAGCAAAACTCCTCAGGGACAGGACCCAGGCCCTTAGTTCACACTCCACAACTGACAAACAACAACAACAACAAACAAACCAAAAATCTTTCTTCTCCCTATGAAATTCGACTGACTTAGTCAGACCTTTTTAATGTTATTCCTTTTTGTGCACAACACTGAGGCTGTGATAGCAAGATAGCACAGACTTAACAAAAACTTATTTTCTCATAATTCTGGAGGCTGGAAATTCAAGATCAGGACATTGGCAGGTTTGGCTTCCGAGGCCTCTCCTTGGCTTTCTTGATACATCCTTACATGGTCTTCTTCTGGGTGAATGCATCTCTCTTTGTGTCTTCTTATAAGATCACCTGTCAGATTAGATTAGGTCTCACTGCAATGACCCCATTTTAATTTAGTCTCCTCAAAAGTCAAGCAAATACATTCACATTATGAGTTTATGATGTTAGGACTTCCACATAAGAATTTAACAAGGGCAGAATTTAGCCTATAACAATCTGTACCCCATTTCTCTGGCTAGGCTAAATTCCAAGACTAGCCCAAGCCTTCATCCAGGCTGACTACAGTGCCTTCTCACTTGCTCCCATACTATATCTGCACACTGCTGTCCTACTGCTCAGCTCACTAACAAAACTGTTTTTTCCATTTTCAGAATCTCTTCCTTAACAATGAAGACTATATCCTGACACAAAGCACAGTGGGCAATAAAGATTTTTATTAATGAAAAAGACAAAAGAATATGGATCTTGAAGTAAGGGACATAAGGGTTCAAATACTGATTCCACTTTTTACTGATTTTGCAGGATTGGTCAAGTTAATTAATGCTGACATTTCCATTCTAAATAGTTATAATAAAAAATTCAATTATGCTGGGTGCCAATGGCTCACACCTGTAACCCTAGATACTCAGGAGGCTGAGATCTGCAGATCATGGTTCAAAGCAAGCTGGGGCAAGAAAATCTGTGAGACTCATCTTCAATTAACAATCAGAAAACCAGAAGTGGTGCTGTGGCTCAAGTGGTAGAGTGCTGGCCTTAAGCTGAAGAGCTCAAGGACAGCACCCAGGCCCAAGTTCAAGCCTCACGACAGATCCCATCCCCCCCCCAAAAAAAGATTGAATTACAATATAAACACTGAATTAAATAATGGTACATAGTAGGTGCTCGTATATTAAGTATTTGATCTTGCCTGATTTGACTCCCACTTATACCACTCAGTAGCTAAATGACCTTTTTTTTTTAATAGACAGGCAACTAAAACAAATAGAATAGTATGTTAGTTGCCTACCTATTTAAAAAACACACAGTTCTATTAAGAGGATAAGTTAACATATGTAAAACACTTTGTTAGATATGTAACATGCAGGATTATATTAATATTTATCCTTATTCTTTCAAGAACAATGAAGTTCTGAACAGGTATGATTGTACTTGTACTACTAAATCATTCTACTGTTACTTGAATGTCTCAAGTCTCTTTCTAAACTACACAAGATAAACTAAAGAGGTTCAAAATCCCTTATATTGGTATTTGATATATTTTTGGAACTGAAATAAAGTTTTTAAGAATCTTACCTTTCTACTTTGTGACTACAAATATTAACCATTTGCAGTAGAGAAAAATACTCTTTGGCTCATACTTTTTAAGAGGAGAACCATAAAAACCAGTGAACTGGAAAAGACCTCTCTGCTGAAAGTCCAATCCTATCATTTCTTATGTAAATACACTGAGGTAGATTTGGAATGGGTTGCTTAGGCTCTTAATGAGTAGCTCTGTGAGGAATGGTAATTATACATAGAGAGAACAATTTGTTCAAAAGTACTAAGGTAGTAGTTCATAACTTGCCCTAGATACTCAAGGTGTATTGGAGAACCAGTATTAGGAAACCATACTGAAAACTTTTTTTTTGGTCGGTCAAGGGGCCTGAACTCTGGGCCTGGGCGCTGTCCCTCAGCTCTTCATCTCAAGGCTAGCGCTCTACCACTTGAGCCACAGCGCCACTTCCGGCTTTTTCTGCTTATGTGGTGCTGAGGAATCGAACCCAGGGCTTCATGCATGCAAGGCAAGCACTCTACCACTGAGCCATCTTCCCAGCCCTGAAAACTCTTTTGAACCATTTGGCTTTTAAGGTCTGGAGTTTCTTTTTTTTATGGTCTGTAATTTCTGAAGTAGGTAAAATTTACAAAGCAGATCTAGATCTAAATTTTCACTTGTTATATAAATGAAATGTGTGAGATCCCAAATAGCCCAACAGGTTTGTTAAAGTGATTTAAATGAACTACATATGTACAGCTCGTGCCTGGGGTGCCAGGCAGATTCAAGTACTCAAGTGTTAGTTGTTTCCCATCCCCTCCTTCTATACGAATAAAAAATTGTGAGATTATAAAAGTCTTTCATATTGTGTATGTTTGCTAAATGTCTGCCATTCGCTGGACATTAATTTTAAAAACAGGAAGCTGGAATCACTGTTCTAATGATAAAGCTTCTTCATCCCTGCCCTTCCTCACCACCAAATGTCCTTCACCATTTGTTTTGAAGTGTCATGTCACCACCATTAACATGCTATTTGGAGATCACTGTAGGTCAGACTTCCAATTCAAAAGCAAAGGTTTGAAGGCCACAAAAAGGATTTACTGAAACAGACTAAACCGGGAGACGGCTTCATTTCGTTTCTAGGGTCTATTTCAACAGGATAAATTTCAAATGAAAAGCTACATTTTTTTTTTCGGTTCACAAATGGCAAGTGCAGAAGGTGCATGAACAAGAAACCGACCTCACCCCTATTACTGTGACCCAGAATTGTCTTCTCTCAGGGAGAGGATTATTTTTGTGCTGGTACTGATTTGAAGACATCTGTCAACAACTGTTTCTTTTAAAAGACTTGTGGCTTCAGGCTCTATTGCAGAGAAAAGCCCACCACAGAAAGGGCTCTTTCCGTCCTCCAGTTTACGCCACAGATGGTGAGCGAGGATTAAGGTTTCACGTCCAGACACTTAAGCCTCTCATCCTCAAAGACGAGGCTCCAGATGGATGCTGTCTGGCGGAGGCTGAGAGGCTGCCAATCCCCGAGGTGCAGATGGGGTGCCTGACGAGGCCGGAGCTCAGCAACCCCTTCCCCACCACCACCCCGCTTGGCAGCCTTCCCGCCTCGGGCCCCAGCGTCCGCGCGCGACCCCCGAGATGCCGAGGGCCGCCGGGCGGGGACCCCGCGCGTCCGCCTTCCAGGGAGCTTGGAAAGGGCAAGCCGGAGTCGCGCGCGGAAAGGCTACTACTCACCGGACTGGCACGGCGTCCTCGGCTCTCGGTCCGTCCGCCCTCTGTCAGGAAGAAACCCCCAAAGCAGCGGCAGCCCGGGAGCCGCGGCCCCAGCGACCGCGGCTGTCAGTAACCACCCGGGCGTGGCAGGGACAGGCGGGAGACCTCACCACATCATCAGCCGGCGACCTTGCCTCGGCAGCGACGCAGGGTCAGCTGCAGCACCCACCCCCCCCCCCCCCCCCCCCCCCCCCTGGGAAGCTTGAAGGAGACCCACTCTCCCAGCAGCCTCCACGGTACCAGCGCACGACCTCCTGGGAACTGTAGTTTCCACTAGCCACGCCCCCAGCATGAAAGCCCCACCCCCTGGCGGCCGGACTCGGGGCGAGAGGCGGGGCAGCATCTGGGGCCTGCGCCCGGCCCGGGGTGGGGCGAGTCCCGGTCCCCGCCGGCTGTCTGGGGCCGGGGCAGAGTTCCAGGCCCACGGCCCCCGCGTCGTATCTGCGCCGCCGTATCTGTGGCCCGCGCTGGGAGCGGGCCTTGCGCGCTCGCTTTTCCTGTCCGCGAGCCCGAGGTCCCAGGTTTCGGGGCTCCGGTGCCCTCCCCACCCCCCGCCCCCACCCCCGACAGCGCCGGCAGCTGGAAGAGTCGCTGGCCGCGGTCGCCGTTAGGGTAACAAGGTGAGGCAGGCGGGGAGGGAAAGGTGTAAGGGCCGGTGGGGAACAGAGAAGCCTCGGGCCAGAGCTCGCCGCCCTCCCGGAGCCCGAGCTGGCACGCTCGGCCGGCGGAGCGTGGCCCGAGTCCGGCCCGGAGCGCCGCGCGGTGGCGGGGTCGTCCGGAGGCCGGGTTCCCGGTGCCCGGGCATGGCCGTGCCAGGTGCACCCGCCGAGTCTCCGCGGTGTCCTCTACCCTGACTCTCACCTTTGGCCTCGATGACCAGCCTGGCGCTTTGCAACCAGAAGGCACCCTCTGGCACCGGCTCGCTCTGCCGCCGCAGCACGGCCAGGGATGAGTCACAGAACGAAATGCCGGAGCGTGGCCGGTCCTGCCGGCGCTCGGCGTTGTTCTCCGCGTGGGGTGTGTGACTGCGTCCAGTGCCTTGTCCTCCACGCTTCCGAGGGGCGTGTGACTGCGCCCGCCTCGCACGCGCCGGGCGCACGCGGGGCGCGCAGGACATGTTTGTGGAAAGCCTTAGTCACCCTTCTAAGTTTGGGACAGTCTACCCTGCCGAGAGCTGCTCGGATTAGGTTTTCCGAGTGTCCGAGATAATTTTGCATATTAATTTTGAAGCTCCACAGAGTAAATCCCCCCCCTTTTTTTTTTAAAGTTTGCATTCTCTCATGGATGCATTTCCTATCGGACATTTAAATGAACTCCTCTGAAGTTCTATAAATAGGGAGAGCCTTTGGTGTCCCCTGAAAGTGTTAGCCTATCAGTTTTGAGACTTCAGAAGAGCCGTTCTATTTTGGAACAAGTACAGTCAGTGAAGCTCTAGGGTAATTTAGGTTTTTAGACACTCGTGCAAGGGTCTACTCGGAGTTAGTGTAAATAGATTTAGAAGGATATGTCTTTTAAGTATGATTTTTAAGTGTGGTACTGGTTTGGGTCTTGAACTCAGGGTCTGAGCGCTGTCCCTTAGCTTTTTACCACTCAAGGCTGGTGTTCTACCACTTGAGACACAGCTCCGCTTCTGGAGTTTGGGGTTTTAATTGGAAAACGGCTTATGGATTTTTCTGTACTAGCTGGCTTTGAACTTCAACCCCCAATCTTCGATCTCAACCTCCACAGTAGCTAGAATTACAGGCATGAGACATACTAGCTCTGGGCTTAAGTATGATTTTTTTTTTAAGGGAAAAAGTTTGTAGTCATACTAGTGAGAGGCACATAGGAGCAAATTGACAGCAAATCTTCCACCCCACTCCTTTGCCAGGTGCAAGTGCTTTCAAATGACCTCGAAGTGTCTTGTAAAAATATCCCTTAATAGCTCAATATCTCTACATGCAAACCTCTGGGGTTAAACCATCCCACAGGGATGATTCTTTTAGTACCAACAATTCTCACAGATTGTGTCCTATGTTTTCCTGAAAAATAAACAAAACAATGTCTTGGAAATTGCTTTGTTGTTAGTTGAACAAAAAGCAGGATGCAAAGTTGTGATAAACAGAAAATTTACTTGGTCACAATAGTCTTAACCTTTTTGCTTATGGAACAGTCAGCTCCAAGTGGTTAGGACTCTGTTTGCTTTGCCTACCAGTGGGTGTCCCCATTGTGCAGCACGTACCTGATCTGTGGTCGCTCGCCATTCATTAAGCAAATGTGGAATGACTACTGGGTTGTTACACATTAACAGTGCAAAAACTTGTGTGTGTGTGTGTGTGTGTTTCTTCATTTACTTGCCTGTCTCCTTAGAATAGAACAAAAGTGTGCATTTTACTGGGCCACAAGTTACAGATATTTTCATGGCTAGCCAACTTATTTTCTAGATAAACCTTATGAGTTCATCCTGCCACCTCCTCATTTTTCCATTTTTTTCCCCCAGTGTTGCTAGTTAAAGAGCACTTTCAGATGAATTATCTTTTGATCCCAGTCACTCTGTCAGACATTGATTTCTTCATTTCCTAGCACAGCAACTCCTGCCCCTTCAGTTGACAGTAAATTTACTAACAAAGTTAGTAACCTACTAACTTTACTAACTTACTACTTAGTAAGTTACTAACTGGTTCAAGCAAATTCACTTTCTTAGTCTAGCAATAAAACTGTAGATACTTCTCTACAATATTTATGGTTTACAAAATCCTCCTTTCTCATTTTGCTTAGGTATTTGTAGATACTTTGATAAAATCTGGAGACTTCATTAAAATTAAAGACGTATGATTTAGATGAAAGAGGTGATAGTGTTTAGTGTTAAACTTGGTGCTACTAAGTTTAGAACATTGCTGTCCTTTCTATTAGTAAAGGCCTAGAAACTTCTGATTTTGGTTTTTGTGTCTTCTTGAATCCAAAGAAGTTACTAGGTTAGAATTCTAAATCTAGTATTGACAGTGAACACAGATTATTTGTGGAATGATCTGTATCACTTTCAGACATGGTGGTGTATACCTGTAATATCCTAGCACTCAGAAGCTAGAGGATGGAGAGCTCAAAGTCAGCCTGAACTACATAGCAAGACCCTATTTCAAAAATCAAATTAATAATAACAATAATATGTATCTTTTATATCTGTAAAGACATACCAAGAATCAAAATGAACACTAAAAAATCATAAAATAAAAAGAATTAACCTGCCCCTGTAGAGTGGCTAATGAGGAGATTGGGAGGATAATGGTTCCTAAATTAGCCTGGAAAAAAGTTCATGGGGTTGCATCTCAGCTAATAAAAGCTGGGCACAGGAATGCACGCACCTGTCCTCCTAGCTATGTAGGAAGCATAAGTAGGAAGATTTCAGTTCATGTTCGACCAGGCACAAATGAAAGACCCTATATAAAAAGTAAAAGTAGAAGGGGCTGGAGCTGGGAAGGTGGCTCAGTGGTAGAGTGCTTGCTTGTGTGCATGAGGCCCTGGGTTCAATTCCTTAGCACCACAAAAGCAGAAAAAGCCGGAAGTGGCACTGTGGCTCAAATGGTAGAGCGCTAGCCTTGAGCTGAATTGCTGAGGGACAGCACCCAGGCTCAGAGTTCAAGCCTCATAACTGACCAGAAAAAAAGGCGGGGGGTGGGTGGGGAGGCTGGAGATAAGGCTTTAGTTCTTACCTAGCAAGCTTAAGACTGTAAATTCAAACCTTTGTACTGAAACAAAAGAAGGCTTAATCTGCTAAAAAATGTCATTTTTACATGAAAACTTTTTAAAAAAAGAATGTTTTTCTTCTAACCAGCAATAAAAACATATTAACTACTTCTCCAAATTTGCTAATCAGGGACTTCAAATAATTTATGGGTAACTAATGCAATCAGAAAAAAAATCTAAATTTTTCAAAGTGTACTTATTAATGGAACCATTGGAAAATTTTTAAAGTTTATTTTTAATAAAATAGTTTCATATAAATAACAGGTACACACACACACATACACATGGTAGTACTAGTAATCAAGCTTGCTCGGCATATGCTTTACTGAGTCACACCTATACAAGTATCTAGAGACTATAGAAATATCCAACTGTCAAAAATGTCCCTTTGAACTTGACTCTGACTTTCTGTTATCAGATCCCATCTAGTATTCAGTAAAGAGAAATGTTCTTTCAAGGAACTTTGCAGGAATGGCTCTCATCCTTCATACCAAGGAATACTAAAGACCAGGTGAGGTCATAGCAACTAGTTCTTTGAGGCACTTTAACATAATCTAATCTTGCCTATTTTTTTTAAAGTAAAGCATCTCTGAAGCTTGAAGATAAAGCAGAAATCTTCTTTTGAATAGATGGATTTTTGTCACTTTCTGTGAACCAAAGCGATTCAATGTCTCTTCTGGTAAGTTTTTGTTAACATTGATCTAATTTGTGCCATCAGTAAGTAGTTAGATGTCAGTGCAGCACCCTAGCAAAAGGCATATTCTGAAGTACTGTTGTCCTGTGGTGTTGTGACTTGAATGACTGATATCTTGGTGAATGAATTAAATTCTCAGTAAATTTTTGTATCTTTCAAAAAGAACATCTCAATTTTTTGTACTCTTTAATACTTTCTCCCATATTCACTTTTTAACATGTATCTTGTATTTAGATGCCAGTCCCACCCACTTATCTCTGTTTCATCCTTTCAATTTTTCAAAATTTCCTAAAGTCAAGCAATACAGAGTTTTAAAATAGCCTTCTGGCTTCTCAGACAAAACATTTGGATCATTTCACAAAATGAGCTACATCAAATATCCATTTGTTTTTGTGTGTATAGAAGATTCATGATACTTGCTTTAGAATAAGTAGTTTTCATTATATATATCATATAATGTTTATTTTTTATTTATTTTATTTTATTTTATTTGTGAACATACTGTACAGAGGGGTTACAATTGCATGGGCAGGATAATGCGTACATTTCTTACCAAGCATTGCAGCCTCCTCCTTTGTTTACCCTTCCCATCCCTTCCCAGCCTCCCCCCTCCCCCCCATCATATAATGTTTAAATAGGGAATTTTTGTATTAAAACAATGATCTCAGTCTTAAAAATTGTGAGATGAGCAGGTCATGTGGGGTGGCATCCTCATCTTGAATTTGCATCTAAGTGCCAAGAATTGGAGCTATGGATCAGACTCATATTTGCAAATCTACTCCACTGGTTGCCAAGACTGAGAAACAGAACAATGAAGTTGGAGACTGTCTTCTTAGATATATGGAAATGTAGAACATATCTGCCTTTAACATATATACCTGGAAAATACATCGAAGTCAACATCTCATGTCCTAAAACAGCAACGAACATACTTTAAAAAAATCCTTAAATAGTTGTATAAGGGGGTTCAACTCGGCATGTAAATTTACACGTATAGAGCATCTTTTTTTTTTTAAGGCCAGATAGTATTTTCATGGTACTACTTTTCTGCTTTGTTGCATGCAGAAATGAGTAACTGTTCAGATAAAACTTTATTCACACAGACAGCTGGTGTTTCATTGATCAGTAATCCTGCTCTACAGGATTACTTTGAGTTATAATTTGATACAAGTTTGTCATTTGGAAATTATGTACCTTAAAATCAGTAAATTAGATTAACTGGGAAATGATAAAAGTATCACAGTCTTTTCTGCCTGGTCTGGCTTTGAACCATGATCCTCAGATCTCAGCCTCTTGCATAGCTAGGATGATAGGCATGAGCCACAGTGCCTGGCTGTTTAAGTACTTTTAAATAACTGACTATAAATTGTTAAGTAGACATGGATGGGCTTTAAGAGAATCATTTGGTATTGTACTCCACTGTTTATATAAAAATAAACATTGATGAGATTACTTACAAAAGTCAGTCATACAATTTGCTTATAGTTTTCTTTTGACATTCTTTTTCTTCTTAAATAGTATGAGATTAGCTTCACCTCATTAGTTGATATGCTAGATCATAGTTACATTCTTTATAGGCAATATATAATAACATCTACAAACTAATGTTCAGGAAAATATGAATTGTGATAATACAAGCAATCTCTTTGAATTTGCTTTGAGTTGGACATGTTTGTCATCGTAAGTAACAAAAACTGTAACAAATATACTCAGTATGTATGTTGAGGCAAAGATCTAAGGATCATGGTTGTCCAGGCAAGAAAGTCTGTGAGATTCTTGTTTCCAATTAAGCACCAAAAGTGCCAGAAGTGGATCTGTGGCTAAAGGGGTAGAGTGCTTGCCTTAAGCAAAAAAAGCTTAGGGACCCAGGCTCTGAATTCAAGCCCAAGACTGGCACCAAAATAAAAATAAAAAAGAAGTAAGTGGTTGGTTTAATGTCAAGAAAGATATACAAGGATCAAAATAAAATTACAATGACTACAATAGAATGCTCTTTAGCTAACTATTCAGAAGAAAATAATCTTTAGAAAAATATTCTGAAATATATCAAAAGTGATGAAGGACTTAAAATTTAACACCAAGAATGAACATGGATTGACAGTAAAATCTCAAGAAAAGAGAGGGCAAGAGTCAGAGATACACCAACTTCAATTCTAATAAGAAATTAGACTTCTGTACACTCTGCTGTTTCTCTCTTCTCTCCCCCATTATGAATGCCTACCTCCATGTTAAATCCTCATACCATTCACATGCATCAGACCTTTTTGCATCCATATTTTCCCTCCACTGGTTCTGTTCCATTATTTTGTCTTATTTAATGTCTTTGTTATTTCTAGGATTGTTTCTGTACTTCACGAACACGAGTTGAATCACTTAGGCCAGAAAAACAGTCTGAAACCAGTATCCATCAATACTTGGTAAGAAATTGGTTGAATACAATTCATGTACCTCCTTTGCCTTCTGTAAGAATACTCACTGGGTCTCTTTTTTTTGGCAGTGTCTTTTCCTGTTTCTTCCTGCTGCTAGTCTGCAAGAGTCTGAAATTGACTTGACCTCTTCTTCCTAAGCCAGCTTTCCCTAAGCAGTCTAACCTATTCCTGTAGTTTTAGTTCCTCAGGTTTGTTATTGCTCTGGGTCTACCTTAGAAGTCCTGAGAGGAACCTGGCATCAAGCAGAACTGATAATTACCAGACTGTACTCTCTAGACATGTCCAAAGAGTCAGGTATAGGATTTCTATCCCAGGAAGATTCTTCAAAGGCACACCTACTGAGTTTGAGTGTAACCTAAATCTTCTCTCAGACCTCACCAACCAATTGTATTTCTTGCTTTGGCTAATGAAAACCAACCTAGTAAGTCATCCTAACTAGAGACTTCAGTGTTGTCTTCACACTGCTTCTGCTCACACCATTAAATCTTGCTAGACACCAAGTCTTAGGAGTCTGTCTTTTCTTTCTCTCCTTTACATCTTCCCCCACACAGACCTGGCCTGTTATAGGGTGACTCACTGCCTGCAGACAATCTGCAGTGGGCAGAGACTAGACCACATGGTCTGCTCCTAGATGTGGAATCCTCTCCCACAGTGCTCAGATCAGTATTAACTACTCTACCAAGACAGGCCTGCTTGTGCCACTTGCCAGCTTGAAAACTTCCATTAAGGAGCTAACTCATTGTTAAATTGAATTAAACAGAAGTCTTATTTTTAAATGATTTTGCCAGGTTATCATAGTTTAGTTATCCATATTATTTGTTTATTATTTATTTTTGCTGTATTAGGGTTTGAACTCAGGTCCTCATGTTTGTTAGGCAGTTAAATTTGGAGGACAGTCCTGATTTGCCAAATGATTTGTGTCTCTTATAACTTTGAAACACACTCTATCTAGAGAAAAGCCCATCTCTAAAGTTAACCATGCCTCACTCTGACTCCTGAGCTCCCCAGGAGACCTCATACTGGCGTGCGCTTCTTCACCTGGGGAAGCCAGACCCTAAGCTCTTATCCTTAAGTATGGCTATCTTTTTTACTTCCTTTTGGTTCATTTCATCTTGTGAAAACTTCTTCACCATTTTAATAGCTGTGATGTGGAAGAGGTTCTGTTACCACACCTACTAGTGAAGCATGCAGTTTGTAGGAGAAATGGATATAGCTAATGAGTGGGAGCAGGACCACAGGCATGGAAGATCCTCACAAGTCACTGTAGCTCTAGTATACTCAACACACACCCTGATTTCTCAGCCATTCTTCCCAGCTTCGTACATTTTACTACAAATTGCGCTGGACTCATTCCTTGCTATTTGTAAACCTGCATTTCCCTATCCTTTCCTGCTTTCCATGTAGAAAACTTTCTAATATCAATTATCAATTGGCAACTTCCCTGTAGATCTAAAAATCAGTTTCCAGCTACTTTTGGTGTCATCCTAATGAGTACCTGTCAGCTTGAAAATACAATATTAACATTTTCTGTTGGGGTGGTGATGTCAGTTGAGAGTCTAAATGTTTATACTTTTTTTTTTTTTTGGCCAGTCCTAGTTATTGAATTCTGGGCCTGTGTGTTACCTTTTTGAGACACAGTGCCACTTCTGGCTTTTTCTGAGTAGTTTATTGGAGAAAACAGTTTCATAGACTTTCGTGTAAGGGCTGGCTTCAAACCACAATCCTCAGATCTCAACCTCCTAGTAGCTAGGATTACATGCATAAGCAGTGCTGGGCAATGTTTATACATTTTCTGTTTTCATTTTGTGAAATAAATGCAGGTTGATGAGCCATCCCTTTCCTGGTCACCTCCATCCACTAGAACCAGTGAAGCAATACATTCTACCAATGTTTCTCACTATGAACTGCAGGTGGAAATAGGTAAGAATCCTGGACTTCCTAAAACTAACCTTTCATTGCTTGAAATGAAATGGTTGACAGATTGTTTTATAGGCAATTATTTCTCTGTTGATATTATAGCTTAAAAGTTGGATATCCACTATGTTAGTTAAATAACTTAATTTTATTATATCACAACAGTGAGATAGGTAGATTTTTTTTAAGATTGCTATCTGGAAGTTTTACATTTTCACTGGTACATTTAGAGAAGGAAGATAATACTAAAATACTTATTGTATCCTTATTGTGGGGAGCATCTAACTTTGTGGGAATAATTTATAGTGGGTAGGAATTAAAATCATGTAAACCTTTTAGTTATAATACTTAAACAAAATTATTTTCTAATTTAAAAATATATTTTTTTGTGTAGAAACCTTTCACAGTTAGATGGAACAAGATGAGTTCTTGTTTCTAGCTTTTGTATACATGCATGTGTTTATGTGTATACAAATATATGTGTATATATTTATGTTTGAAACATACATGGTGATTTATTCTCAAAAATAGGATGAATCTCAAAAGAATTATGCTACATTAGTGAAGCAAAGGAATTAATCACAAAAAGCTATCCTTTTTGATACCATTTATATAACAAGTAGATCTGTGGTTACTGGGACTAGAGGTAGGGATAGGAAACTGCTGATTAGTATTCTTTTGTTTAACTAGATTATCAAATCACAGTCTTAACCATATAATAGCTATGCGATTGTATGTCATTGTCTTCATTTGCTTATGGGCCTCATATCTTACTTTGTAGATTGTCTATTCAATCCTCTGCCTGCTTCTTAATTGAATTGTTTATTGTCGCTTCTGGATGGAAGTCTTATCAGATACAAATATATAAATCAGATAAAAAATATAAATATATAAAAATACTTATATATAAATATATAAAATCACATATAAATATATAAATAGATTATGCTTTCATTTTCTCTCTTTTTCAGAGGGGAAGCATATTGTAAAATAAATACGTTTTTGAAATTTTTGAAATAAATATACAGAGCTTCCTAGTTTTAGAAAATTCAATTCCTAAGTAAAATTTTATTACAAAAAGAAAATACAATAACAAATTGAAATGAATGTGGAATAAGTAAGTGGATACAACCTTTGTAAGCACAAGAAGGACATACCTGACATAGGAACCTTCCTCTGGGCTTATCAGGCACTCTGAGGCCCTGAACCTGTATTGAGATCTGTGTGTGTTTTCAAAAAGGCCTTAGAGAGTTCCTTTCCACTCTCCCCCACATGGCCCTGTTCTAAATTCATGAATCTGAGCATGTCTTTGACCCCAGAAAGAAGATGGAAGACCTAAGTATGTGTGAAGCATGAGCTCTCACTCAAAAATTGTCCAGCAGGTAACAAAATGTCTCCCGTTCACCCAAAGAAGTTTGAGGCTGGTGACTAAGAGGTGAACAAGAGGACATCCTCCATTAGGACAAATTTTAAGGAAAGGTCACATAACTTGCTTGGTTCTAGGGACCATGGAACTGTGTAGGTAATTCAAACATGGAAGGATGGAGATTTGTAATTTGAAACTTAGAAAACACTGAAGACTGGGCAAAATCATGCAATTATGAGAGTCAGTTTGGGGCTGACCCTAGTTAGATAGTAACAACTTTCCTTTTGGACAGCTAAAAAAGAGCTTGTGTTGAAACAGCTGGTAAGCCAGATGTCTGAGATCTGGGCCATTACTGCATTGCTGAGATTGACTGAACTCTCATTTCATAGTGGTGTGTTTTGAAGAGCAGGAATTTTACATTTTAATGAAATGCACAGCATCAATTCTGTTGGTTACTAACAAGAATCTTATGTCCAATTCCAGGAAGAGGATTTGACAACTTGACCTCTGTCCATCTTGCTCGGCATACTCCTACAGGAACACTGGTAACTATAAAAATTACAAATCTTGAAAACTGCAATGAAGAACAGCTGAAAGCTTTACAGGTAATGATATGAAGAAAGGGACATATTTATTAATGTCTTGTTGAAGAGATTGCATCTGTAAGAATTTGTCTCATGAAATTGGTAGTTCTTTATTTTAGGGAAAGGTAGATTTCTTCAGACTAATATTTAGTCACTAAGTAAGTAAGAATACTTATACTTGGATCTGGCTTCCAAGTGAAAGGAAAAGTATATTCAAATTTCGGTAAACTACTATAGGTTTGTTCAAGTGAATATCATACTCAGATGCTAGCCTGGAGATTTACAACACTTCAGTAGACCTGCTGGGACCAGGCAAGGTTGGCAGTTATTCTAATCACAAATAATCATATAGGAGAATAGAAAAACATAAGCACATGGTATCTTTTTTACCCAGATAAGCAAATTTAACTTCATATTGATAAATTATAACAGAATTATGTTTCAGGAATATTATGCCATTTTCTTGTCATTAATCATTAAAATTTATGCCAGTTCTGAACCATAAACTCAGGGCTTCTCACTCTTGTTGGGTTTGCTTGCTCAATGCTGGTACTCTACCACTTGAGCTAATCCTCCAGCCTAGCCTCACTAATCATTCTGTATATAATAGAGGAAAAATTTTTCTTCTGATATTATCTCAATTTAAAAAATATGTGTATATAGATGTTGCACAAATAAAGGAGACTAGAAAAAACTATTAATTGTTCTTTTGTGATGCATTTTGCATGACTCCCTCCTCCCATTCTGTGTGTTTTAAAAAATGTTTATAATAAGAACATAGTCTAGTGTCAAGTGTGCTTATGAAATGGGAATCTTACTTCATAGAATACTTCTGAGATTTAGAGGTCAGAAGAACTAAGAATGGTGCAGAGCACTAAGCAGCTACCACTACTACTGTTGTCTTCATCATGAGAAAAGAGAAATTATTTTAAAATAGCTTGTCTCTTGTGTGTTTACTCTAGAAAGCAGTGATTCTATCCCACTTTTTTCGGCACCCTAATATTACAACTTATTGGACAGTTTTCACTGTTGGCAGTTGGCTTTGGGTTATTTCTCCATTTATGGCCTATGGTAAGAAAGCTGCTTACAACTCATTGCTTAGCCCGAATGCTATTGTTAATACAGATGAACAGAATCTTAGATTTATGACTTTCTACTTTTAACTTATAAACATAAATTCTGATTCTCAGCATCCTGACCTATTTTTACATTTGGTTTATGTTGGTTATATTTGGTTTATTATATTTTATATTTGGTTTATGTTGACTTTTAGTCTTCAGAAAAAATGTAGAATGGGTATGATAATCAAGGAACTCATTCTCATTCTCTGAGAATTTCATGGCTTTACATAAGCCATCTCTTCCCCTCAGTTTTCTTCCTGTTTGTCAATGTGAAGTGATTGGTCCCTGTTTCACCACACTGTAAACTGAATTCATCATATTATAAACATCGTTGTGTGTGCCTGTCCCTCACTTGTGCTTCTTGAGGGCAAGGATCTTTTGTATTTTCTGTTTTGGTCCTCAGGTGCTCTTATAGTACTTAGCACAATACAGTGTACAGTGTGTTAAAGAATTAAGTGGATGGATTCTAGAGCTTTGATCTTTTAAAACAAATTTTAAATTTTATTGTAGAGGTGATGTAAAGAGGAGTTACAGTTACATAAGTCAGGTAATGAGTACATTTTCTTTTGAATAGTGTCATCCCCTTCCCTCATACTCTCCCAGTTTAGAGCTTTGATCTTTAGAACAGCTTTTATGAATTGCTTTTGGATTACAAAGAAATCATACGCTACATATGTGTGTGTGTGTGTGTGTGTGTGTGTGTGTGTGTGTGTGTGTGTGTGTGTGTGTGTGTGTTTTAGTTTTACAAGTCCTGGGGCTTGAACTCAGGGCCTAGGCACTATCCCTGAGCCTCTCTCTGCTCAAGGCTAGTGCTTTTCCACTTAAGCCACAGCACCACTTCCGGCTTTTTCTGAGTTAGTTTACTGAAGATGAGAGTCTCACGGACATTCCTGTCCAGGCTGGCTTTGAACCATGTTCTTCAGATTAAAGCTTCCTAAGTTAGGTGAGCCACCGGCACCTGGCTTATAGCATGTATTTTTAATCACAGAAAATCACTGAAAAATAGTTAGCTTTTTTCCCTAATCTCTTAGGAAATCATTAGGGGAAAAAAATTCCCTACTGGTGTTGGAATCAAATCCAGGGCTTTAACGTAGAAGGCAAGTACTCTAGTTTTGAGCTTTATCCCCAGATCCCCTCAAAAATGTTTTGAAATTCCTGAAGGAAAAGCACTTTTGCATGTGAAAAAATTAGGCACCATAAAAAGTAAATGGCATGTGTGCATTTATGGTGGAAAAGTACATCCACAACATACCTAGAAACAAGATCACTTTCAATGCTGCTATTAAAATTCTTTCAGGTTCAGCAAGTCAGCTCTTGAGAACTTACTTTCCTGAAGGAATGAATGAAACTTTAATAAGAAACATTCTCTTTGGAGCAGTGCGAGGATTGAATTATCTTCATCAAAATGGCTGTATTCATAGGTATGCGCTTATTGAATTTTATAAAATGATTTTGTTTTCCAGTATCAGAGTTTTAATGCAGGGCCTCTCACTTAGATTACTCACTAGGCTGGTGCTCTAACCACTTGAGCCATGCCTCAGCTTCTTGCTAACCAGTAAGAAGGGATTGGCGTTGAACCTCAACCTTTCAGATCGTAGCTTCCTGACTAGCTACAGGTGTGAGCCACTGACAGAGGACTAAAATGAAAAACATGTAATGGAAGAGGTCTTTTAGGAAGCTTTGAGGAAGAGGCAGTTGAGTATTAGAATGTAGGGTTATACCACTGAAAGCAGAAAGGAAGGGACCGATGTATTCAGTAAATGTTTACGTTTATATCCATTCACCAAAACTGTTAAGGCCAGGGCATCTGTACCCAGCACTGTCCTTGGTTCTGGGGTGGAGCATCTTCTCTCGTGGAGTGCACAGTCTTAGTCTAATGTGGGACATAAGAACCAGGATGTTCAGGAGATTAGCTACAGGACCCTAGTTAGCTGGTTGTGATTTATTCCTTTCAAGCAAATAAAGAGCTTCTTTATGTACTTTCCAGTTTGTCCCATATTTATATCATGTATAAATTATAATTCTTCCTTGATTCCTTAAAAAGCACCTTGAGATTATCATACTAAATATCATGTCTCTTGTTGCTAAAATTCATTTGAGTAATAGTCTGAATGTGAAGATCAATGATCTGAGATACACTAGGACTTTGTTTTGCTTCTGAATTAAATTAATTTTAAATGGGCTTGCTTTCTTATTCAGTTTCCATAATAGTTTTTCTGTCTTGCTATTCATTTTTAGCAGCATTTTGGTTAGCTGATAACTTTAAACCAACTGTACACTAAATAACTGAAGTTTTCTTAACCATACCAGTCTGTTGACATTCTGCTATGTTGGTGAAAATACGATGAAAAAAATTAAGGCTTTTTTATAATTTATCTGACGTTTAAAGAGAATTTATGGCATCTTTATAAATGATGTTATACCATGAGAAGATTTTACTGTATAATATTCCATTTAACTATAAATTATAAATTTATGCTTAAAATGTTAATTGGTATTTTTGCAACAGTATCTTAAAATAATAAAATTAGTAATTTGGTCCTATTTTTTATTTGAAAAAGAATTAACAGGGGCTGGGAAGGTGGCTCAGTGGTAGAGTGCTTGCCTTGCATGCATGAGGCCCTGGGTTCGATTCCTCAGCACCACATAAGCAAAAAGAAAAAAGGCGGAGGTGGCGCTGTGGCTCAAGTGGTAGAGCGCTAGCCTCGAGCTGAAGAGCTGAGAGATAGTGCCCAGGCCCAGAGTTCAGGCCCCACGACCAGACCCCCCCCCAAAAAAAAAAGACTTACCTGTTCCAAACCTGCAGCTTTCAAATGTTCTAGTTCCATATTGAGTAAAATAATTCCTACTTCTCTGAACATTTCTTCTATTTTTAATGTGTATTAGATACGCTGCTATTTTATAAAGGGTATTTAGTTTCTAAGTGTATACCTCTCTCTGTTCTGACCAGACTTTTATTTTTTCTTCATTGGCCAGATTTCTAGTACTTAGGATTGTTTCTTTTTGTTCTAGGAGTTTTAAAGCCAGCCATATCCTCATTTCTGGTGATGGCCTAGTGACCCTCTCTGGCCTGTCCCATCTGCATAGTTTGGTTAAGCACGGACAGAGGCATAGGGCTGTGTTTGATTTCCCACAGTTCAGCACATCAGTGCAGCCGTGGCTGAGTCCAGAGCTACTGAGACAGGTCAGGTGTGGCTGTGGCATTGGTTTGTCTGTGTGTCTCAAGTGTCTTCTGAGTTTCAATAAAGGACAATTGCATCTTTATACTTGGATATTGGTGAATGGCCTGCTATAAGACCTTTTCTCTTTCTTGTCAAAATTTTGTTAGGAATATAACATACTAATACATTAGGTAGATCCTGGTTTCTTACTTATGGGGTTATTTTCTATCATTCACCATCATTTATCACAACAGGATCTGTAGATACTTTTGTCTATTTACACTAAAAAACTTCAAATTAATTGTGTTGCACAGGATTTACACGGATATAATGTGAAGTCAGATATTTACAGTGTTGGGATTACAGCATGTGAATTAGCCAGTGGGCAGATCCCATTTCAGGACATGCATAGGACTCAGGTAAAATGCCTCTAAAATCTATGAATTTGTCTTTTATATATTCTTACATTCTAGATAATTTCTATAAAACATGTTCATTATAGACTCTGAAGAACTTCATTATCATTTTTGTTTTAGTAATTTTGCCTGGAAAATGTTTGAGAACTTTTTCTTTCTCTTAGATGCTGTTACAGAAACTAAAAGGTCCTCCATATAGCCCATTGGATATCAGTATTTTCCCTCAATCAGACTCCAGAATGAAAAGTTCTCGGTCAGGTGTGGACTCTGGGATTGGAGAGAGTGTACTTGTCTCCAGTGGAAGTCACACAGTCACTAATGAACGGCTGCACACACCAGCCTCGAAGACCTTCTCTCCTGCCTTCTTTAGCTTAGTACAGCTCTGTTTGCAGCAAGATCCTGAGAAAAGGTAATACTGGTCACCTCTACATAGCACAAAATGTACGTGCTTTATATTTTTTGTAAGTTTTGTAAGTTTTTTTTGTAAATTTTTTCATCAAATTCAAATCTTTTGATAAAAATGTGTAATGTAGAAAATGTCAATGCTAAGAATCAGTAGAAATAGTAAGCAAATAAGAAGAACACTGGATTCAGAATCAGAATAATTAGGCTCCATATCATTTCCTACCTAAGTCATCTTATAAAAATTATCTTTTTTAAAAAAAGCACTCTTCCTAGATACTAATTACTACATTTCTATTAAGGCATTTTAGAATGTCTAATCAGTTTAAAAATGTAAGTTGCTGCTAATATACTTGTCTAAAATATTATTAGATAACTATATATTCGTATTTTTATATAGAAGATATCTGTATCTTATTTTACGTATCTCTTTTAGCTCCTTAGTACCTGGTATATGTCTAATATGTACTCAGTAAATGTTGAATATGGCTTAATTGAGGAATACTTCTAGAATTATTTATTTCTGTTAGTTAAATTTGGAACTAAGAATTTGTCTTTTTTTTTGTACTAGTCCTGGGGCTTGAATGCAGGATCTGGGCACTGTCCCTGTGCTTTTATGCTCAAGGCTAGTACTCTACCACTTGAGTCACAGGTCTACTTCCTGGCTGGCTATCTATCTATTCATTCATTTTTGGTTACTTAATTGGAGACAGTCTCACCAATGTTCCTGCCTAGGCTGGCTTCAAACCTCAATCCTCAGATTTAAGCCTCCTGAACAGCTGGGATTATAGACATGAACCATTAGCACCTGGCTTTTTTCTTTTTCTTATTAATGCTTTAGTATTGGGTTTTATAGCTCTAACATAATTTCTGGTTTTAGTGGGTGGTACTGAGCTTTGAACTTAGGGCTTGGGTTTTTCTAGACATACACTTTACCACTTGAGCCATCCTTTGAGTCTGTTTTTGACAAAAGGGCTACCAAACTATTTCATGTCCTATATATTTGACACTTTCTCCTTGCATTTGTTCTGTTGTATTGCTAGGTACAAATACTAGAATTATACTTGAAAGTACAGTTACTTTTCAGATAGAGTCTTACAGGGATTTTTTTTTGCCCCGGGGGTGGGGGGGTGGTGGTGAGCCAGCCTCAGAATCATTTTCTTCATACTTATGCCTCCCTGATAACTCAGATTACAGTGTGTATCTTTACTCCCAGAGTTTTATTGTTGTTGAGATGAGTTCTAGATAACTAGAATGGGTTCTCTGCTTCCTGAGTAGCTGGGATTATAGATTAAAAATCTGCATTCTGATGTTTATTTCTTAAATAACTTTATTAAAAATTTCAGGCCATCAGCAAGCAGTTTATTGTCCCATGTATTCTTCAAACAGGTGAGCTTATCTATTGTCTGTTGCTTAGATGTTTTCAAATACTATTAAAAACCACTCTGTTTTGTTGGTTTAATGGGATACTTTGGCTGCCAAGAGACAAATAGTTATCTCATAAAATTAAAATAAAGAGTACATCTATGTGGAGATGGTGATACTTGTTTTTGCTTTTTCTTGTTTTTGTCTTGTTTGTTCTTTTGTCTGTCTTTTGAGGGGACATATATGGGAGCATAAGTGCAGGGACAAAAGGTGAATAAAGGCAGGCATGGTACTCAGAAGACACTATGTAGAAAATGAAGTGAAACTTGTGCGTGGGGACAGGAGTGGGAAACTGTGGGAAAGCAATGGTTTAAATTGTCCAAAAATGTACTCATTACCTGACTTGTGAAGTAGTAATTCCTCTGTACAACACCTTAACAATAACAATAAAAAAGCTATTGCATTGAAAAAAATCATCAACTCAATAGATTTTCTAAAAGATTTCTTCTGCAAAACAAAATGAGTAAAAACTTATCATATGTCACTATATATTTAGATATATTTTAAATCAAAGAATTTTTTCTTTATTGGTCAGAAATAACAGGAGGACAAAATATGACAAAAATCAATGTATTAATCTTCCTATTTTCTGATAATCAGAATTAAAGGCATTTAGAGAGTATACCTGAAAATAATTTCAAATATTTATATGGTTCCTTTAAAAATTATTTATTTTTGTCAGTCATGGGGCTTAAACTCTGGGCCTGGGCGCTGTCCCTCAGCTCTTCAGCTTAAGGCTAGTGCTCTGCCACTTGAGCCACAGTACACTTCTGGTTTTCTGGTGATTAATTGGAGAGAAGAGTCTCGTGAACTTTCCTGCCTGGGCTGGCTTTGGACTGCGATCCTCAGATCTCAGCCTCTTGAGAGGCTAGGATTACAGGCATGAGCCACCAGCACCTGATTAAAAATTACTTATTGCTGACAAGACTGACGTATTTATGTACTAACAGTCTTACTTTGAATTTAACAGATGAAAGAAGAAAGTCGGGATTGCATTCTCTCCCTGTTGCCCCCTGCCTATAACAAGCCATCAGAAGCACTGCCTCCAGTGTTGCCTTGGACTGAGCCGCAATGTGATCTTCCAGATGAAAAGGACCCAGACTGGGACTTATAGGGCTGCCAAGCCATTTCATGTCCTATATACTTGACACTTTCTCCTTGCTGCTTGTTCTGCTGTATTGCTAGGTACAAATACCAGAATTATACTTGAAAGTACAGTTGGTGCACTGGAGAATCTATCATGTAAACCCCTCTGTCTACAGGGCATGAGTTTCTAGTCCTCTTCTATGTCAGAGAGCCTTCACAACTCCAGGGCAGCATCAGAATTACTCCTCTAGCTACAGTTAGTATCATCTCTTCTTCATTTATCACACACACACAGCAAGCTGTGACCCCACTTCTCTTGATCTCTCAGTGTAATTATTTTTGTCGGTTGTGGAGCTTGAACTCTGGGCCTGGGTTCTGTTCCTGAGCTCTTCAGCTCAAGACGAGCACTCTACCACTTGAGCCACAGCACCACTTCCAGTGTAATTTTTGAGCCAGGTTTTTCTACATCTTGCTTTCCTCAGGGTACAGTGCCGCCCAGGATATCTTGTTCTTGGAGATTCTCTAGCCTTTTTTTATCAGCTACTTAGACCAACAGGTTAGTTTATTATGGCACCATACCCTTTTCTGGAGAAGGGAAATGTGTATATTTCCCCTTCTTATTCTGTTAATGTTAATATGTATTGTAACATCAAACTGAGCCTCACATTTAATGATTCACTTGAAATGTATAGAGAAAATTTCATTTGCTTTTTATAAAAAGGGAGGGCCCTAAGCAACACTTTTCTAGCTATGTAAATTATAGATCCTAAATTCATGTACTCTGTGGGTGCTCAATAAAAACTTAATGAATTGAATTATACTTTTATTGTGTGGTTTGACAAAGCTGGAACACAGATTCTACTCTGTCTACCCCAAGAAAAGCCATTTCTGAAACAAACTGGTTTGCATAACCTAATGAATTAAGGCTACATGGTTTTGGCAGAAGGCATGCTTACCTGTCATGATTATTAATGCAATTTCCTTATAAGCAAGAAGAGTTTGTAATTTGAACTCAGGTTAATAGGGGTTAATATCAGTTGATTTTCTTAATCTATACATCTCACTTCTATTACAAGTTATTTTTGATGTAAGACTAAAAGTTTGAGACCCAAAACATAAATATACAAATGAACAGGTAACTTTAAGCACAGTCTTTTTTAAAATGTTTATTGACTGGACCCCCTCAAGAATAAACATTGGGTTTACTCTTGTCAGTGTGCTAGGGTGAAAGCTGAAAGTGAGAGAATTTAGAATGGACTGTGGAGGAGGAGGGGCTGAGAACCAGTAGAGGTCCCTAAGAGCAGCTGCATGGTGGGCACTGTAGTTGATCTCACTGGAGGTGAGTACTTAACCTTCTTAAGTTCACCTCACCCAAAGAAGCGCACAGGAATTTTAAATATCCTCCTGAATGTGTGCAGATTCTCCTGCATGTGTGGAGTGCAAAAGGTAGGAGGAGGATCATGATACTTCCCACATCTCCTGTAGGCATATTAGGGTTATCTGTTGATAGAGCCAACAGGATGTTTATACATAGTATGTGTGTGTGTGTGTGTGTGTGTTTGTATGGATTACATGCATACATACAGAGTTTAAGAAACTGGTTCATGTAACTATGGAGGCTGAACTGGGGACTTGAGAAACAATGATGGGGTTCTAGTCCAAAGACTAATATTTTATCAGGATGGAGACCCAGGACAAACTAATGTTTCAGTTTGCTTTCAAAGGCAAGGAAATGTTGATGTCCTAGTTCAAAGGCTATGGGGCATAGTGCTTGAGGGTGCCAGCAATCTGTTTTTGAGGTCCACCTAACTATCTGTTTTGCTCAACCTACCAATTGAAATGATCTCATATAGAAGAACCCAGAATAATGATTGGCTAAATATCTACACCACATTCTGTGACCCTGTACTGTTGACATAAAATTAACCGTTGCAACCGGGTACCAGTGGGTCACGCCTGTAATCCTCGCTACTCAGGAGGCTGAGATCTGAGGATCTCAGTTCAAAGACAGCCCAAGCAGGAAAGTCCATGAGACTTATCTCCAGTAAACCACTCAGAAAACCAGAAGTGGCGCTGTGGCTCAAGCAGTAGAGCACTAGCCTTGAGCTGAAGAGCTCAGAGACAGAGCCCAAGCCCCATGACAGACAAAAAACAAAAACAAAAAACCACCATTGCAATGGCTCTTGTGATTGATGGATAACTTCACTGTGTGTGTGATGACTTGAATTTTGTACTTGTAGTCACCTCTTGCATTAGTTTTCTATGGCTGCCATAACAAATTTCCACAAACCTACTTTAAACACCACCAGTTCCTTTTGCAGTTCTATTATTTAGAAGTCCTAAAGGGACTCACTTGGGTAAAATCAAGACATCAGCAGGCTACATCCCTCTGGGAGCTCTAGATGAGAATGTTTTTCTGTCATCTCTAGCTTTTGGAAGCTGACTATCTCACTCAGCTTTTGGCCTTTGTGTACCTCCAAAGTCAACAGTGTTGGGAAGAGTCCTAACACTGTCATTTTTTTATGGCTTACTTCCTCTTGGCTCTTTAAAGACTCTGTAAGATTACATTGGGTATAACCATATTGTTTGGAATCCTTTCCCTGTCTCATGTCAGCTGATCAGCAACCTTGACCCCTTTTATGTTGTGCAACCTAACTTACTATTTAGTATTAACATGTAGGCATTTTCCACTAAGGGATCATTCCCAGGTTCCTGAAATTAGGATGAGGGCAGACTTGGTCTAATTTTTTTTTTTACTGTGCCTTTTGTTAAACCTTGTGCTGATGTCTGTTATTTGAAGGACTGAAATTAGCTAGAATGCCCATCAGCACATACCGAATGTAATTCTTTCTGTATTTGTGTCTGTACACTCATCAAGAATACGGTTTTATTCACTAGTATAATCTTAGCATTCAGCAAGTGTCTGGACTAATGTAGACATTCAATAGTTAAGACATTCTGTTTTGAATAAAGTGTATGGGGAAAAGAAAAGAAAATTTTATCAGATTTAACACTTCCATTTAGTAACTCTATCCCATTTTACTTCAAGCCAGATCAGTGGTTTTCCTCGTACCACTGAACAGTTGCTTATTAGCTCTCAATCCATTTTCTTACCTTTCTGCTTCCCTGAAAACTACATTTCCAGAGCACTCTTGCTCTCCAGTGAAAGCTCAGCTAGGAGAAGGAAGAAACATGGTTAGTTGTCATCCTTTTGTTTCTGCATCTTCTGGTGTTTCCGCAGTGGCCGCCTACCATTTGCTCCTGCCTCCCTTCCACCTGAGTGGTGGGAGCAGCTCCTGGTCTTGTGGCTCTGGGTTCCTTCACTATCTCATTTGACTTCTTAGCCTTGGTCCATAATGCATAAAACTAATTCTTTGTATTCCTTTTATTGAGACTATCTGATTTATTTGTTTTCCCAGTAATATGCCAACTGAAACAAGTACAAATATTCCTCAACTATGATAGCGTTTCATCCAGATAAACCATTTGTAAACTGGAAGTATCCTGATGGGCATGGTTGTACACCTTTGTAATCCCCACACTTAGGAGGCTGAAAAAGGAGGACTGTGATTTTTCCTGGGCTACACAGAAAGGTCACTGGAAAATGCATTAAATATATAACCAAACTTACCCAACTTTGTGGCTTAGCAACATGGTGCATCTTAGAGTGTCTGATGTTCCTTTTTTTTTTTTTTTTTTTTTGCAGGGCTAACTAGAAGCTGATGCTCCTTTGTTTCTGCAGGGCTAACTAGAACCTGTGCCTTCTAGTTGCAGTTTAGTGCCATGTATTGTATCAAATGTCATTAGGTTCAAAACCCATCAAAATTAAAAATATAGTTGCTACTGAATGAGTATGAGGTTCAGACTACTGTAAACAAAAACAAAAATCTCTAAGAAACGAGCTTATACATGTGGACACTTTTAGTCTCAATAAAAAATCATTTCCTTGGTTATAACATTGAAAGAACCATTAAGAATTATGTTTTCTATTAGCCAATTCTATTTGGATTCCATGCTCTTTGATTTTTGCTAGAGAAGCTGAAACTAAAAAAAATATGTATCCTAGAAATTTTACTTTTTAAGAGTGAACCAAATTTTAATGGGACTAATTCTTAGAAGTTTCTGATCTAAATCTTACGTTAATTTACATTGCACTCTTTCTACAGTATTCTAGAACGTTCCTAGTTTCTGGGGTTTGGGGAAATTATAAAAAGTTGTTCTACAGTTTTTCAAACTAGATGGTCATTCCTGCATAGGAAATGCCTCAGGAATTAGTATTAGATCTTTATTCATACTGTAGAAAGATACAATATTAGATGATGTTAATACTGACCTGCATTATGTAAGCCCAGACATTTGCAAACTGTGGAATCTAGAATTATCACTGGAGCTAAGGAATAAATTTGAGTAAAAACAAAAGGCTAACCATAGGTAACTGCAAATAGAATACATGAAACCTAGAAGGACAGGAAAATTTAGAGTATAATAAGTGTTGGAGGAAGTTACATAATCATTCACTCCAAAGTAGGATTGAAGTCACCGATTTATACAGGGGAAAACATGGGAAACAAAACTGCAAATTAATATCAATTGACTATGTATTTGTACATGTATTCTCTAACATTTATAAACAAAATATGATTACATCAAATGCATTTACTTTTTATTTTAGCCAGTTGAAATAGTTTGAACAAGATGAAGTGTTATTACTGACTATTCTATTACAGCCATGTACAGCTCTCCAAACAATTTCATTAGTGGAGAAATGATACACTTATTAGCCTCATATTATTTTGAACTGTTTAACACCCGCATATAGCACAAGTGAACATTAGTCAACATCCTCCCTTAATTTTTTGGGCCACATTTTATACATCTAATAGTTTGGGGTTCTACTGCACATGTAACGTGAGTCTGCTGTAATAATTCGAGGACATGAGAATTTTCCAGTGGCACTCCCTCGTCGTTTGTTAGTCTCTGGCGCAGTGTACGGTCTTATACAGTGTTTTGCCTGATTATAGCTGTCATCTGGGTTCTTTTCTAAAAGTCTTGTTCTTGATTGTGAGTTTTTAAGATGGTTAAGCGAGGTTACATGTAAATCCTCAAATTTATCCAAATAATCCTGAATATTAAAATAAAATATTAAATTGGCAAGTTAGGTTTCTTAAAAGTACACTTTAAAATTTACAAGACAAAGAATAAAGGTAATGAATGTTTCTTGGCAGTAACAATTTATACCCTCTACTGAGCTGCCACATTAAATCCTATCTTGGAAGCCATATTTAAAAAATCTTACTGTTTCAAAGGAGCTGCTAATCCAAAAGGGATGGAAGATATTAAGCTGGACACCAGAAAAATGTAAGAAAGCTGCGTGCAGAGGTCAGCTCCTAGACAAAGTTGTACAGTATACTTTGTAATCCTCCACCAAAATAACCTCTTCCTTGGCCCTAAATACAAATGTGAACTTTCATATTTTATTCTTGTGTGTGTGTGCACATGTGTCCATGCTAGTTCTGGTGCTTGAACGCAGCACCTCTCACTCTTGGCTTTGCTTTTTTGCTCAAGTCTAGTGTTCCACATTTTGAGACATACCTCTACTTTCACCTTTTTGCTGGTTAATTGGAGATAAGAGTCTCTCAGATTTGTCTGCCTGGGCTAGTTTGGAAACTACAATCCTCAGCCTTCTGAGTAGTATATTTTAGTTCTTACATTACCTATCAGTCCATCTTTAGCAGTTAATAAACATGTTAGTATATGTATATACTATATATGTGTATACTGATTATATATATGTATGGAGAGAGAGAGAACAACATTCAAAAATATGGTTGTAATGTTTGCACTAAAAAGAGTGAATGTACAAACTTGGTGCTAGGGGCACAAGTCTGCAACCCAAGCTGCTCAGGAGGCTGAGACCTGAGGATAGACGTTCAAAGCCAGCCCAGGCAGCAAAATCCATGAGACGCTTAACTCCCACTAACCAGCAAAATGCTCAAGGTGGAGGTGTGGCTCAAGGGGCAGAGTACCAGCCCTGAACTAAAAAGCCAGCAAGAAAGGAAAGAGACAAATGCAGACAGACACTCACACAGACACACAGAGACAGAGAGAAAAGGAAGGAAGGAAGGAAGGAAGGAAGGAAGGAAGGAAGGAAGGAAGGAAGCAAGGAAGGAAGGAAGCAAGGAAGGAAGGAAGGAAGGAAGCAAGGAAGGAAGGAAGGGAAGGAAAGGAAGCAAGGAAGGAAGGAAGGAAAGGGAGGGAGGGAGGAAGGAAAGGGAGGGAGGGAATGAAGGAAAGGGAGGGAGGGAGGGAGAGGAGAGAGATTATGCATATACCTAATTCTTAACAAAATAAGTAGCACATTTAGTTATCTGGAAAAGGCCTATGTATTTACAATTAAAACTGGGAAGACAAACTCCCAGTTAGTTTCTACATTGTCCACCCACTGCCAATGGCTACAACAGGCTGGGTTGCATAGCAGACCCTGGCTAATTAAGTCAAGGCTACTCTCCAGCCAGGCATGAGCCTTAGCTCTAGGCTGCTCCAAGTTGGAGGGCTTGCTCAGAGAAAAATCTTTGCCAGTTCATGCCCCAGAGAAGGTGCCATTTTTCTATTTCATACAAAGCACTGTGTATATGTGTGTGTGTGTGTGTGTGTGTGTGTGTGTGTGTGTGTGTGTGTGTGTGAACAGTTGCCCTGATTCTGCGATTATATTTTGAATCAAGTAAGATGATGTCTGAATTTCAGGAATGTTTTAAAATTGAAGTCTGTATATGTTGGAACAATTAAAGTTACCCATATATTTGCATTTGCGCATATATGTGCTATGGTAAATGATTCCCAGCACTTTTCCAAATATAGAAGGAGAAAACTTAGAGAAAAATATGATTACATGTATAGTACTTCTTGCAGTGCACTGAGGCAAAGTCCTTGGGACAGATTTCTTTGGATCAATTCTGGCAGCAGGCAGTGTGTTAGATGGCATCCCTACCATCTTGTCAAGTGACCTTTTTGGTTTGGCAATAGTTTCTTTTTCTTTTCGAACTTTGAATTTTATGTTTTCTCTCTTCAATACTTCTGGGAAAAAGGATGTTTTTGAGTTTTCTTCATCTTTAAATGATTGTGCTTCAGGGGTCTTGGCATATTTTTTACTGCAAATTTCACTTGGGTTTACACAAAGAGTTTGTATTTCTTTCTTGAATTGTGTAAAGGTTATCAAGTGTTCTTTATTGTTGTTGTTATTTCCTTTTAATCTCTGACAATACTGGTCTAATTTTGATGGTTCCTCACTCTCTGAATTGAACTGAATTACGGTGTTAGTTTGCCAGGAAGAGAAAGTGAATCTATTTAAATGTTCATCTTCCCTTGGCATTTTGTCACTAGGAATTCTTGGATATGGTGACAATGCTGCTACAGGATTTTCCCGAACAGTCAACTTACAAATATTAATACTCTCCCTGCTTCCAAGAGGATTTGCTTCCAGTTTCCTCTCAAAGTAATCTTTTGACTGTATCATTTTTGGTTTATCATCCCAACTATGTAGGTCTGGAGTGTCTGTATTATAAACAGAATTTTCTGCTTGAGTAAGTTGTATGAAGCCATGGTCTTTCTTGTGTTTCTTAAGCACCAGCTCTGCAAGTCCTTCGGAGGACTTATTTAAAGGAATCACTGGGGTACTTTGGTTGAAAGTAGAGTGTACTTTTGTTAAACTTAATGTTTTTACCCCCTCTCGAGAATAATGGTTTTCTTTCATTGTTGATGGATCTTCTTTTACATTGAATAAGAATGGATTGCCCCTTTCTTCCTTTCTCATCAGTTCTGTTTCGATACCTGTATCCCCAGGAGCATTTTGCAGAGTGTTTTGACCAGTTTCTGAATATTTGTTTTGCTTTTCTGTATGTTCCTCCATGAAGTAATCTTCATTTCTAAAAGGCAAACCTTTTTCTTTGCATTCTAATGGTATACAAGTAGGATTACGCAAACTTATATGCTGATTGATTCCCTTTAATTGCCTTTCTGTCATTAGGCCTGATTTTGAAAGTTTATCTATAAAAAGATCCTGAACATGTTTGGTTAAATCAGTTCTGATACTTAGTAATTTATTCTCTGATAAAGTGCGAAGATTATTTTGTAGAGATTCACTTAAGGGATATTTCATGTTTATTTCAAGCCTCTGACTAAAACTTCCCTTTGCAATACCTTGGGCTAAGTCATGCAAAGATATTGAAGCACTTTCAGTTCTTAGAGGAGATATGTTTGTTACAGATTCTGACTCTTGTAATAAACTACTGTCGGAAATGTTTTTTAGGAAATAGTTCTGGAGGATTTCATTTAAAAAAGATTTTAGCTTTATTTCTAAATGTTTGTCGATGAAATGATAGTTAAAATTATTTACAAATGACATGATCTCTTTTACAATTTCAGAATATTTCTCCTGAGAAATATTTTGGTCTTTCAGTTCTGTTTTCTCATGCATGAAATGCAGATTTTGGTAGAGTTCTGCTAAGTCTTCCTTTTTCATATGACCAGACTGTGAAAGTCTTTCTACAAGGTAACACTGGATATGTTTACTTAACTCAGATTTTAAATTTTTTATTTCTGACTCCGAGAGATCTTCTAGAAACAAACGTAGCTTTGGACTCAAAATCGATTTTCTGTCTAATTTGTCTGTTTCATGAAGATTTAGTTGCATTTCTTCCACGTTTTCTGTATTACTCGGTAAAGAACGTTGAATTAGACTTTCTAGCTCCTTTTCTGGTTTTCTTTTTCTTTCAGTCTGATTATATTTGAAAAAAACATTAAAGATGTTTTTTAAAAAGGATTTTAACATTGTTTCATTGGGCTCATTAACATTACCCATCAGCGGGTTATTTAACATTTCTAAAGTATAATTTAGATCACTTTCTTCTTTATCAAGACTCTGAATTTCACTTGACATGCCTGGTTTTTCATCTTGTATTGAGTATTTCAAATTTCGTATGGACCTATTCTGAAGACCTTCTGTATATTCAACACTACTTACAGGAGCATTCATTTTTTGAGCAATGCTAAATATATTATGCCCTGACCAGGATTCTGTTCTGTTTTTGCCTTCTGTGCAATCCTTCAACTCTTCTTCAGAAGAGGTTGTCACTGCATTTGGCAAAGCGCTTTGGTGTTCTTTATCAAGTTCTATCACTTTGATTATCCCAGATTCTAAAAGAGTATCTACAGGAAATGTTTGTATTATCTGGCTCATAAAAGATTTGCCCTGTGTTAATTGCATTTTATCATCTTTTTCTCCATCATTAACTGGTCTATATAAAGATGAACTTCTGTTGCAAGGTGTGGACAACTGACCCGGTGAGTTCATCTGGGCTTCATTCAGCTCCTTTCTTCCTATTCCCAACTGGGTGAAAACTGGTGCAGTGAATATTTGCTTTATGGTATTGTCATGTTCTTGGTCACGTAAATCTGATTTGAAGCTAGAAGGTTCAATTATTAAATGTTTCTTTTTAGAAGAATTCTTTCTTTTCACTGGAAAATTGCTCCCATCAATGTCTAGGTGATTTTCAGAGACACCTTTTATCTCTGGAGATGGAAGGACATTGTCAGGAAGTACATTGTCAGGAATAGTTTTAAAAACCTGATTTAAAAGAGTCTTTGAACTTAAAATGCTTTGGTCTGAAAGCCAATGGTTTATATCTTGGAGTTTTGCAAATGCTTCCTCTTCCCTACTGTTTGGTGGTGAGTCTTGAAAGCATGTGAGTGAAGAACTGTCCTTTATTGCCTCAAAGTTCACAAAAAATTCTGGCTTAGGAAACAGCTTGTCTGAGAAGTCTTGCAGATTTTGATTTAAAATTGACTTAAGTACCATTAATTGCTTTAAATTTTCTATATCAGAAGTAAGATTTGATGACTTTGAGCAATTGGGTGTAATTAAATTTCTACTCATTGATGATTCTACATGGAGGTTTGGTGAAGATACATTTAATAGATTTTCTTCTAACTTAGTTTCTAACGTTTTCTTTATGCAATCAGACTCATGGACTAACTTAGCCTTAGTAACCGAAGTCTTTGTTGTGTTCATACAGGGGTTTTGAACTAACTTAGTTACAGTAGCTGAGGACTTTGTTGTGTTCCTGGCGGGGGGGCATTGAGTTAGTTTATTCGTAGTATCTGAAGGCTTTACTGTGTTGATAGTAGAGTCAAGTGGCAACTTATTCTTAAGACCTGAAGTCTTTACTGTGCAGATGGTAGCCTCATATTTCAACTTATCTTTAGTATCTGAAGGCTTTTTTGCACTGATGCTTGGCTCAGGAGGCAACTTACTCTTTGTGTCAAACATCTGTACTCTTGGGTTTGGACATATATTCTTAGATTTAGAAGAACCTCCAGTTTGTAAACTTTTCGAGTAAGGAGGATCTTGATCTTCATGCTCTACAACTTCTGGACTTAAAGTGCTTATACATTTGTACATATCCTGGTCTTCCTTTTTGCTGACTGGCCTTTCTTTGCTTACATTCCTTAGAAAATGATCAAAATTGCCCAATTGGAATTTCTGAAATTGAAATAAAAAGGTAAATTCTGTAGCACTTATTTTGCATTTACAATGGATTTTCCAGTAAATTTTCTCTAGTAGTCTCTATTCATCCTACCTTTTACAGAGAGAGAAAACAACTTTATTTTAAAATATTTGAACTGGAATAAAAATGTAACTTAAAATACTATAATTTTTAATGCAAAGATTTCAAATCCCTAATTCAGATAGTATTTAATACCTGGATATAATTGTTACTAAAATGAAATCAGGACTCACCTTAAATTTTGTTGTTAATTCTATATATTCTTGTTTGGAAGATGGTGTCATGAACTCATTTCCCGAAAAAGCCACCTTATAAAACAAGAAGTTTTCATTTTAGACTATTTGTAATTCAAAGCTATGGAATCAGGATCATTTTACTCTTTACTGCAGAATAAAACTAGATACACTAAAAGATATAAAACTGGGTACTTTGGCCGGGAAGGTGACTCAGTGGTAGAGCGCTTGCCTTGCATACCTGAGGCCCTGGGTTCGATTCCTCAGTACCACATAAGCAAAAAGAAAAAAGCCGGAATTGGTGCTATGGCTCAAGTGGTAGAGCGCTAGCCTTGAGCTGAAGAGCTGAGGGACAGCGCCCAGGCCCAGAGTTCAGGCCCCACAACCGGACCCAAAAAAATAAAAATAAAAAAATAAAACTGGGTACTTTCTCTGAAACAGCTTTCTACTATGTGGTCCAGGTTTTATTTCAAACTTGTGATTCTCCTGCCTCAGGCTCATAGAGGCTGGGATTACTGGTATGGACCACTATGCCTGGCTCATAACCATTATATTGTAAAAGTTACCAAAGAAATCTCTGTGTGTATATGTGTGTACATATATTAAGTTCCTTGGTATTGTAATTGCTACCCTACTGAAGTTTTAAAAAATCAATGCATGAGAGCTTCAAGTAAAAGTGAAAAAGAAAAATAAACGGAATAGAATTATTATAACAAATGTAATGTGATACTGAGAGGTCATGAAATAATTTACAAAGTAAGAAGAGCTAATATTCTGTGGAGATAGGACTTTTCAATGATTCATTTCAACCAAGGCCACCTCTAGTCTATCATCATGGTATGAGTGAATTTTTGAGATTGAGGTACTTTAGAGGTAGTTCAGTCCTCGTTTATTTTATGCAGAATCTGAAGCTGAAGTTTCTTGCCTCGAGTAACCCAGATGACTAGAAATCAAGGCTTCCCAGGTTTCTTCTTCACCACACAGTAGGGAGGCTTGTGGTTCTGAAGGCTTCCTCACATACCATGCAAATATGTCCACAAGTCACTGTCTACTCAATGAACATTTAGTGTTTCAAATCACTATCCTATACATTATCTCCTTAGTCTGTGAAAGGTTCATTATACACAGTTAATTAAGTCAGTGATATTTTCATAAGAGATACTTTGGTATGGTGTTAAGCCTCATTAAAATCATGCATTTACCATGACTTTATTCTTTTGTGTGTGTGTGTGTGTGTGTGTGTGTGTGTGTGTGTGCGCGCGCGCGCATGCGCACATGCGTGTATGTGTGCTGGTATTTGGACTTGAACTCGGGGCCTGAAAACTGTCTTTGAGCTTTTTTGCCCAAGGCTACTGATCTATCACTTGAGCCACAGCTCCTCTTCCAGGTTTTTGGTGGTTACTTGCAGTTAAGAATCTTACAGACTCTCCTTTGAGGCTGACTTTGAATGGTGATCCTCAAATCTCCTAAATAGCTAACTACCAGCACTCAGCCATGACCTTATTCTTAAATCTTCGATGGCTTTCCACTTCTGTTACTCATAGTCCTGGCCTGTAAATAACTCTCCAAGCTTCTCAGTATTCTTCTGTATTGTTCCTCTCCTCCAACCAAATATGTCTGAATCTGAATTCTAAAAGTACACCTCATGTTTCTATATTTGTCCTTTTATTCATTATGTTTTCCTTTATTGAATTCCCCCAAATATCCCTTAAAATAGTGTATCTTAAACCCTCTGTATATTACCTTTATAATACATTTTGTGTGTGTGGGGGGGGTTCGGTCGTGGGCCTGAACTCTGGGCCTGGGCGCTGTCCCTCAGCTCTTCAGCTCAAGGCTAGTGCTCTACCACTTAAGCCACAGCGCCACTTCCGGCTTTTTTCTTTTTTCTTATGTGGTGCTGAGGAATCGAACTCAGGGCCTCAGGCATGCAAGGCAAGCGCTCTACCACTGAGCTACCTTCCCAGCCCCGACCTTTATAATAAAAATTTTAAAAATAGTTTTAACTTCTAACATTTGATCTAAACCTGTTCAACCACTCTGGAAAGCAGTGCAGAGGTTCCTCAAAAAAAAACCCCAAAACATAGAACTAGCCTATGATCCAGCAATTCTACTCCTGAGGTTTTCCAAAAAGATCACAAACCACATTGCAGTAAAGCTACCAGTACAACAATGTTTATTGCAGCACTACTCACCATAGGCAAGGTTGTGGAATCTGAATGGATCAAGAAAATGTGGTATATATACACAATGGAATTCTACTCATCCATTAGAAAGAATGATATTGTACAATTTGTAAAGAAATGGAAAGACTTGGAAAAATGATATTAAGTAAGTCAGGCTCAGAGAAACAAAGTATCCATATTTTTCCCTTGTATGTTGAAGCTAGATTTAGCTTAACAACTCATAAGTAAATACATTGGGTAGTATGCAAACGTATACAAATGTATTAACTGGAGTATGTTAGACTCAAGGGAGATCTTAAATAGAAAGACTAAATCAAAGTAGAGCAAAATAAAACACCAAGAAGTGGATACTTGAAAGAGGTGGGGTAGAGTCAGGGGGAAAGGGGTGTATGAATGAAGAGGGATGGGGGGGAATGCAGACAGGAATCCAATGTATATTCTATAAAATTAAGAAGAGTAAGGGAAGGAGTGGGTAGGGGAGGGATGGGAGAGAATGCTGAAAGGGGTAAAACTGATCAAATTGCCATGTAAGTGCCTTTGTTAAATGGCAACTCCTCTGTACAACTACTTAAAGATAACAATATAAAGTAAAATAAAGGAAATTCATTATGGGTAGGGTTCATCCATTGACCTAACTTCATCTTTGTATTTATTCCTTCTGGGTTCTCTCAACTCTTTCTTTCCTGCAGTTATTGTGGATCACAAGACCAATAGGTCTGATTAATGGACACCTTAGGATAAAGAAGAAAATCTACTCCCAAGGAACAAAGGCCTTCTTTGCACAAACAATTCTTTATTGTATAGCCTCAGATAATGGTTCAGGGTAATGATCAAACAGACCAAAGCCAGATCTAGATGACCTGTATTCTTTCTATAGATCTCCTTTATCCAATGCCTTAAAATTCAGCTTTTACCATATGCTAATTTGACATTCTAATTATTATATATCAACCCCTTATTTACAAAGGTTATCTCAGTGCTTTGCATTATTTAACTAATTATTATATTAACATTAAGTCAACACAATTTCAATTATGTTACTATAACATTAATATTATGTTAATGTAAAAACTACATGAATATAATTTTGTTTTTCTCTACTAATTACTATACAACTTAACTATTATAGGCTTAAAATTATTTAATATTAGTAGGGAACATACATATTTCCTTTTTATTGGTAATCCATAGATAATTACTGTTTGAGGAGTAATTATCTTAAGATAGGGTTAAGATGGAAGAGATTGTATTTTTGATACTTTTTAGGGTATCCATAGAGATCAAGAATGGATTAGGCACATTGAACATTTTCTATTGTGAGAAATTTATGGATCTAGATGTAGGTTGTTGGGAAAAGACAGAGCTTCCAGCAGTGTATTTTCTGTATACACACAGAAAGAAACTTAGTGTGAAAGAATTTCTCAGCGATTCAGATGTTCTGGATGCAGCTCTTCCATTAACAACTTAAAAAAAAAAAAAAACGATCCCTGAGAATAGATCCACATGTCCAGTCCAACATCCTGTCCCAGTTTGTTTTCCTGTGTTCTTTTAGCTTTCTAAAATAGTCTCCCATCCTCAGGAACAATGTGCTTAAGTTTTTTGTTTACGAAAGTTTTATATGAAGCTGGGCACTGGTGGCTCATGCCTGTCATCCTAGCTACTCAGGAGGCTGAGTTCTGAGGATCATGGTTCAAAGCCAGCCCAAACAGGAAAGTCCGTGAGACTCTTATCTCCAATTAACCACCAGAAAAAACTGGAAGTGGTGCTGTGGCTCAAGTGGTAGAGCACTTGCCTTGAGCTGAAGAGCACAGGGACAGCACCAAAGCCTAGAGTTCAAGCCCCATGACCGACAAACAAAAAGTTTTATATGAGCCAGATATGATAACACCTGACTTAATCTCAACACTACTAAAACTATTGCAAGATGGAGTAAGTGAAACATTAGAACATAAATACACAGGCAGGAACTTTTTGAAAAGAGTTCCAGGGGCACAGAAAATAGGAGAGATATTTGACAAATTCATAATTTTACAAGAATAAAGACTGTGTTTCCATATGATAGAATGTTACTGGCAGTAATATTTTTTGGAGGGGGGTCTGGTCGTGGGGCTTGAACTCTGGGCCTGGGTGCTGTCCCTCAGCTCTTCAGCTCAAGGCTAGTGCCCTACCACTTGAGCCACAGCACCACTTCCGGCTTTTTTCTTTTTTCTTATGTGGTGCTGAGGAATTGAACCCAGGGCCTCATGCATGCAAGGCAAGCCACTCTAGCACTCTACCACTGAGCCCCCTTCCCAGCCCTGGCAGTAATATTAAAACAAAGTAAAATGCCAACAGCGGTTTAAAAAGATAAATCCATAACTTACATTTCTTCCTTTTTTATTTACATGTTTTTGTTCTGGGGTCTTGTCATAAATTAGGTCTGAAAAAGAATTAAAATTGATTATATAAACAAGATGGCACCTGTAAAACTTGACAAGTGTGGTCTGGGAAGGTGGCTCAGTGGTAGAGCTCTTGCCTTGCATGCATGGGGCCCTGGGTTCGATTCCTCAGCACCATTATCGAATTTTTAATAAATATTTAAAAAAAAAACTTGACAAGTGTGTTTTACAGACATGTCTCTGACCATGATTGTGAAGGCAGAGTGGCTGAGAGGGCCAGCTCTGGAGGAGAGCATGTGGACTCAGTCTGTGCAGCTAACGGTTTACCTTTGAGGAGTAATCCTGCCTCTGGGCTTTATTTTCCCCATTTGCCAAGGGATGAAGATGCTGTGTGAGTTAATGGGCTAATGCATAACACTGCCTGGAGCATAGGAAGCACAGAATAAAGGTAAAGTGTGTTACCATCTTGGCTGGCTCCTCTTCTTCTCTGACTTTGCGACATATTGCACTGTGGGGTTTGTCATCCAGTAACCATACTATTTTTCTGTACTGTTGTTAAAATGTGTACATCAAGGGTTTTGAAATTAAACATCATCACACAATGTACATTTCGGGTACATAAGAGATTGTCTTTCAGCCAAATTATGGTAAATACTTCTGTATTAAGTACTTCTGCTTTTTGACTCTTGTTCTTAAGTGTTAAGAAATGAACTATAAGAAAAAATTTCAATGTCATAATTGTACTCCTGGTTTTTATGGCTGCCAAATCTTCTGTACATCATTCAAAGCTATGGTCATGGCTTCTCTCTACCATCCTGGAGTATCCTCATTTTAGCCTGCCCTCTGACAATCAGTCAGGGAACACTTCATTATATTTTGCTATACATGCCAAATTCTGTAAAGCTGTGTAGACAATCTCCATTCTAGATTCCTTTCATGGAAATTCTTTATATTCTCAAGAATTCATGATTCTAGAGGGGAGTCTTATGTAAGGAAAACAGGGAGTGAAAGGACCTTGATTTTTATGAATAGAGAGGATAGACTGAAATAATATGTGCATAAATATTGAGAGTAAGAGAGTCTCAGTAGCCGGGTGTTGGTGGCTCACGCCTGTAATCCTAGCTACTCAGGAGACTGAAATCTGAGGATCACAGTTCAAAGACAGCCTGGGCAGGAAACTCTGTGAGACTATTATCTCCAATAAAACCACCCAGAAAAGCAGAATTGGCGCAGTGGCTCAAGTGGTAGAGCGCTAGCCTTGAGCTGAAGAGCTGAGGGACAGCGCCCAGGCCCAGAGTTCAGGCCCCACAACCGACACACACAAAAGAGTCTCAGTGAAATATATGCAGAAGTGGGATAGCCACAAACCTCTCGTGGGTAATAGTCACTCATGGGTAATAGTCACTCATGGAATCCAACTCGGGTCAAATTTCTCCCTAAGCATTCACTTCTATTTTTGCATACAACACAAATTTGACTTGCCATTGCTTACAAAGACTCTTGAGAAGAAACTGGATTACTAGCTTCTTTAAATGTAGTTTTTATAGTTTTTAAAATTACTCAAGACTTGCCATATTTTTCTCATTTGTAGAACTAGGATTGTAGGGCTATATGAAGATTAAATAAGGTACATGAAATAAGGTATATAAGGTAAATAAGGTATGCAAAGATATGAAAAGATTAAATAAGGTATGTGAAATAAGATATATATGGTAAATGGTAAATAAGGGAGACAAAGCTCTCAAGACTAAATAAGGCAACATAAGTCACACGAAGAGTACTGAGATATGACTGTCAGGACCTAGTTTCACTCTTTGACCTTTAAAATGGGGAAATAGAGGCTGGGAAGTATAGCTCAGTAATAGAGTATGTGCAAGGCCCAAAGCCTGATTCCCAGAATCATAGTAAGTAAATCAATACATGCATACATAAATGTTTAAAATGGTTTAAGGTCACAGACATAATGACAGAGCAGGGATGAGATCAACTTTATATTCTCTTTGTGGTTGATAGAATACTTTTCCCCTTCCAATAAATACTGGAAAACAATAGAATAAAAAAAAACTTCCTAGTCAGATTTAGTCTAAAAGTTCTTCTATGGATAGAAGGATATATTTATAGAATACTTCAGCCATAGTTATCACTCGCCAGAGCCTCTTCCCTTGCTCTTCCCACTCCTGCTGGTATCCACTCACCTCTTACTCATTTTTAAGGACTTGATTCCACGTATGACAGAGAATATGCAATATGTGACTCTTTCAGTTTGGCTTATTTTGCTTAACATGATTTCTACATTTGTGTGTACATGTGTGTTTTTAATTGTCTCTGAGATTTTTGGGGGGAGGGTGGGTCAGTCATGGGGTCTAAACTCTGGGCCTGGGCGCTGTCCCTCAGCTCTTCAGCTCAAGGCGAGCACGCTACTACTTGAGCCACAGCACCACTTCCAGCATGATGATTTCTAGTTCCATCCATCTTCCTGCAAATTACATAATTACATTTTTCTTTATGACTGAAGGAAGGATGTACTGTATTTTCTTTTTTTTTTCGGGGGGGATCTGGTCATGGGCCTGAACTCTGGGCCTGGGCACTGTCCCTCAGCTCTTTACCTCAAGGCTAGCGCTCTACCACTTGAGCCACAGCGCCACTTCCGGCTTTTTTTCTGCTTATGTGGTGCTGAAGAATCGAACCCAGAACCTCATGCATGCAAGGCAAGCACTCTACCACTGAGCCACCTTCCCAGCCCTGTACTGTATTTTCTTTATCCATTTTTGGTTGATGGACATCTGAGCTGCTTCCATATTGTGAATATTAGAAGATACAGATGGTTCTACTGTATGTTGACCTATGTTACTTTGGATATATTCCCAGGTATGATACAGCAGAATCATATGATACTTCAAGCTGTAGTTTTTGAAGGACTCTCATACTTATGTTTCATAGCAGTTGCACTAATTTACACATTCCCCCCCCATAGTGTATAAGCATATTGTATTTCCTATATCTTCACCAGAATTTGTGTTTCTTGATAATAGCTATTCTGACTGAGGTGAGCTGGAATCTTAATAAGATTTTAATTAAATTTCCTTTAAAGGTAACGATATTGAACACACTTCATGGATTTTTTATGATAATTTAGTCTTAGTATTTATTTCCGTAGTGGTTGTACTAATACTTCTTTTAAGGAACTATTTATTTGCCCATCGACTAATTGGATTCTTTTGGTGTTTTGCACACACATACACACACACACACTGTATGGATCTTTTAATGGGATAAATGGCAAATATTATTATCTACTTTGTGTTTTCTTTTGATTCTAGAGATTGTTCCCTTTACTGTGCAAAAATTTTTCAATGTGATGCAATCCCATTTTCAATTCTTGCTCATATTTTCTGTATGCCTGTATCTTCAAGGGTTTTCTCTGTCTTCTCTAGCAGTTTCAAGGTTTATAGTCTTATAATAAGGTTTAGCAGTTAATTCTATTTGAAATTGATTTTTGTACAGGATGGAAACATCAGAACTTAAGGTCCAGAGTAATCTTTCCTGACTCCATGTTACATTTTCTGGGAAGGAAGGTTGGGCCCCTAAGGCCTCAAGCAGCACAGCGACAAGTAGCATCCACTTCTTTCCCACTTTAGTGCAGGGTCTGCGCTGAGCCCACGTAGCCGCTCTCGGTTTGGAATTTCATGTCTGCAGCTGGCAGGTGCTGCAGATTTGCAGCTGTCTGCTTGGCAATACAAGCTGGTAGCTTCAGCGCATCAGTGGCAGCACTCATACCACACTCCCGCTGTGCACTGCCTACCACAGTGGAGGCCCTCGGCTGTTGCTCCACCCTTGTGATAAGTCTCTGCTCAGACACCAGATTGTTCATGGTATCCTTTGAGATTTAGGTGAAAATAACCGTACCTTCACAGCTTGAAAACCTCGGCATCTGCAGAATTAGTACCTGTGACTGGCACTAGGGCCTATGATTTTTGCCCCAATGGCAGAATCATGAGTTGTACAAGGGTGGCTTGAGCTATGGCTAGAGTGGCTGGAATGTGGGGAACAGACACTGTGCTCACATGCGACTACAAAGACTGGCCTCTGACTTGCCTCTATGATCTCTGAAATTCTTTTGGTGTCATGGCCCCATAACCTTGAATAGGGACAAGAATTTTTCTATGCCTATTACTCCTTCCAGCAAAGGATTGCTTAGGTCATACCCTTGATTTGCTTTTCTAAATACTACTTGTTACTTTTTACATGACCAAGCCCTGAATGTTTCCATTCTGCTTCCTTTTAGCTATAAAGTCCTTCTTTAAATTATTTTTTCTTCTCTATTATTTTACAACATGTAGTTTAACAAAAGCCATATGGCTCCTTCCATGTTTGGCTTAGAAATTTCTTCTGTTAGATATCCTTAGTAGTTTGTAATTTTTTTTCTTCTAAGTCATAATTTACATGTACTTCAAACTTTTTCTGTCACTTGAAGTAATAGTCCCTAAAACTATACATTCCAAAATAGCTTCCTTCATGGAATAGATGAATGATAACACATATGACTAAGATATTAAGTTATGGTCATGCTGTGTTTCATATTGGCCCCATTCTACTCATCAAGCTAAGGCAAACTTCTATTTGCTAGTTTTGTTCTAAAATTGTACTTTTTCACCACACTTTGATTTGTTTCTTTTTCCTATAAACAAGAATTTATCTATGATATAGAGAAACACAATTGCCTGCACACCTTTCTCCAGCTATCTTCCTGGATATTTGAATTAAATTATCCAGTTTCTGAATGGATATGGAATCACTACATAGGTATGACTATTTCAACTATTAGAATTTTAAAATACTTCTGTCCTAACGTGTAAAACATGGCTGCCTATCTACCTTAACTCCTTGGGAGCTCCTATTTCTCTCAACACTGACACAACATAGCAGGGAACCTCTGGAATGCTGACCAACAGCACTGTGTGATCTGTTTATTCCATGCTTGTGCTTGAGTAGTTGCTAAATATTTGATTATCATATTACTGATGTGTTGAATGTGTTTTTTTAATGGTATCAGTGAACAATGAAAAGATTTCATTAGATCTACAGGGTAGAAAAAATTTGGAAACACAGATAAACAAATGCAATAACTAATTTACTAACACTAGACTGTTATACATGTAGAATAAGAATTATCCAGGCTTCTAACTGTATTTTGCTTTGCTTTACTTTCCAGTGATAGTCTAATGCCACAAATATTTTTTGGCAATAGTGAAAAATGTAATTTACCTTTTGAGGAAAAGTTTTGATAACAATTATTTGAGGTGAGTTAGAGTTCCAAAATTTCACTGAATACATATTCAAAGACATAATAACACATTAAAAAAAAACTAACCTTCAAGATAAGAGGATATCACCTGCCCCATTTGTTCATATGGAATCACCTGGAATAAAAATAGAGTACAGAAAGTATATAGTAAAATGTAAGTAAATGTAAATACAACTTTTAAGCAGTATTACTGGCAGCAAAATACAAAATGAGATTAAAGTGTTACAGTTTGTGTATATAAGAAAAAGTTTATTTACAATTCAGTCAGTGAAACTGGGAAAAGTTAAGATCTAGCTATAGCTGAAATATTATTTTAATAGGTTAAAGTAATAAATGTCAAGCATTAAGAGAAAATGTGTGATATTACATTGTGCATCCTTAACTTTTTTCAGTCTCCAAAGTCCCAGGAAACAAAGAATATTGATTTAAAATAAAAATAAAACAAGACCAACATCAAAAAGTCTACGTGAAGCCAGGTGCTGGTGGCTCACGCCTGTAATCCTAGCTACTCAGGAGGCTGAGATCTGAGGATCGCGGTTCAAAGCCAGCCCGGGCAGGTAAGACTGTGAGACTCCTATCTCCAATAAACCACCAGAAAACCGGAAGTGGCACTGTAGCTCAAGTGGTAGAGCGCTCGCCTTGAGCTGAAGAGCTGAGGGACAGTGCCCAGGCCCAGAGTTCAAGCCCCACGACCGACAAAAAAAAAAAAAAAAAAGTCTATGTGAAAATAGAAGGGAGGGGCCAGGTGCTGGTGGTTCACACTTGTAATCCTAGCTATTCAGGAGTATGAGATCTGATTATCATGGTTCAAAGCCAGCCCGGGCAGGAAAAGTCCATGAGACTCTTATTTCCAATAAATTATTCAGAAAACTGAAAGTGGTGCTGTGGCTCCAGTGGTAGAGTACGAGCCTTGAGCTGTAGAGCTGAGGGACAGTGCCCAGGCCAGAGTTCAAATCCCACGACCAACAAAAAAGAAGATAGAAGGTACACTAGAGAAAGTAGTGTAGAACAATGCTTAAAGAATTTATCCCTCCATTGGAGTGAACTTCAACTGCTCTAACCTGACAAATCAATTACATCAGAATTCCAAAATATAGCCAAAACCTTGAAGCAAACAGAGCATTGAATAATCAGAGAAATGTAAAAGCAGACAAACGGGTATTTCAGAAAATCTGTGGGGGGAGTGGTAGAAGGAAGAGACAGTAGGAGAAAATCAAAGGAAGAGGAAGCAATGCTCAACAAGAAATGTACTCATTACCTTACTCATGTAACTGTAACCCCTCTTTACAATTGAAAAAGGTGGAGGGGAGGGGAGAAAATCTGTCTCAAATCACTGGCTATTGAGATAATAACAGAGAACACAAAATGGTCACAAAATGGAATATAGTCTTCATAAAAATAATTTGAATAAGTTAAAAAACAAATGGATGATTGTATCCCTTAACAACTGACAACAGAAACCCCTGAAAAAGGAGGAAAATGAATTTCCAGGGTTATCATATTGTAATATTTGAATGTCTAACTTTAAACAAAAAGTTTCAAGGTATACAAAGAGCTATGAAACATGGCCCTCACCTCACAATGGGAAAAAAGGCAGAAAACTGCTAAAGGAGAATTTTAACTTAATAGCTTTAGACATTTATTTTAGATGTAAATATTTATTTTTTAAAATATCTTTTTTAATTTGGCTAAAAAACTAAAGAGATCCATGAGCAAAAAACTAAAGTAAAACTAAAGAACTGAAGTTGGAAAATGACATATGAACAAAAAAGTGAGAAAATCAACAAATAGCAAATATAAAATGAAAGCAAATATAATTTGTAGAAAGTATAATAAAATTTTATGTGTTTAACAACAGATTAAGAAAGTTGAATCAGATAGGACATGTGAAATTATTCAATCTGAGAAGCAGAGAGGAAAAAGAACAAAGAAAATTAACAGTGCCTAAAGCACATATAACCAACTCTACATTAGGGATCACTAGAAAAGAGAAAGATGACAGAAGACATTAGAATAACTCACAGCAGAACATTTCCCAGATTTGGTGAAAGTAATGAATCTACACTTCCAAGAAGCTCAATTAATTCTACAAAGGATAAACCCAAAGAATGTTACACTAAGACACATTGTAACTAAGCTGCCCCCCCAACATCCCCATAACAAAATAAAACAAAAACCAGAGAGAACATAGAACTAGTAAGAATGAAATGACTCTTACTAGTATAGGAATCATGAGTAACAATTTTTCATCAGAAACCATTTAAACAGAAGGCAGCAGACTGACATATTTATAGTGCTGAAAGAAAAAAATATCTCTTGACCCAAATTTCTATAACCAGTTAAAATCATTCTTCCAAAACTCAAAGATACTAAGCCATTCTCAGATTACAGAAAGGTGTGGAGTTTGCTACTATTAGCCCTACCTACAAGAAATGGCAAGAGAGTCCTTGGCACTTTGGCTTCATGAAAATTTTCAGCTTACAATGAGTTTATCAGCATATAACACCATTATATTTAGCTTACAATACATTTATCAAGATGTAGCCTCATTATTTTTAGCTAATCAATGTAACACCATTCTTTTTAGTTTACAGTAACTTTATTGGGATAGAAAACCATTATTTTAAGCCTATAATGAGTTAAAACAGGATTAACTGAATCCTAAACTGATCTAATATTGAAGTACCTAAATAAACAGAGAACCTTAAAAGCTGGGGGGGAGGGTGGTGGTGGAATATAATCCTAATCTGGAGGTTGTATTTGGAGGATTATAACTTTAAAAAACAGCCTGAGCAACATAGTAAGAGCTCATCTCTCTCTTCTTCTTCTTCTTCTTCTTTTTTTTTTTTTTTTTGCCGGTCATGGGGCCTGAACTCTGGGTCTGGGCGCTGTCCCTCACCTCTTCAGCTCAAGGCTAGCGCTCTACCACTGGAGCCACAGGGCCACTTCCGGCTTTTTCTGTTTATGTGGTGCTGAGGAATCGAACCCAGGGCCTCATGCTTGCAAGGCATGCACTCTACCACTGAGCTACCTTCCCAGCCCTCTCTCTTCTTTCTTATCTTTCTTTTTTATTTCTTTTTCTCTCACCCTCACTCCCCCCCCCCACACACACATCTGAAGGGAGAGATTAAGTACAATACAGTAATAGCAGAGATTTAAGTATCTCCACTTTTGGACACTGATGGATAATACAGACTGAAAACCAATAATAAAACATTGCATTTCAACTACACTTTTAGATCCAGCAAACCTAAAAGACATAGAGAAAACATTACACTCAAAAGCAGAGGGGCTGGGAATATAGCTTAGACTGCTTGCCTAGCATGCATGAAGCCCCGAGTTTGATTCCTCAGTACCATATAAACAGAAAAAGCAGGCAGTGGTGCTGTGGTTGAAGTGGTAGAGTGCTTGCCTTGAGCACAGATAGGTCAAGGACAGTGCCCAGGCCCTGAGTTCAAGCCCCAGGACCAGAAAGCAGAGAAATACAAATATTCTTCTCAAGCCCACACAGAACATTTTCTGGAACAGAGCACATATCAGGTCACAAAACAAGTACTGAGAAATTTAGAAAT